TAATTAGAAAATGCCTGAGGGTAAGAGACTTTTAACATTAGTAAGAGAGAGTCTCAGGACAGGGGCATTGTTCCTGCTAGCAGGAAGAAAAACTTCAAAAGACATATTAAATGCCTTAATCCGGGCATTAAATCTTGGGCCTCACAGCTACATGTGGCCCTCTAGGTCCTCAAAATATGGCCCTTAGACTGAATCCAAACTTCACAGAACAAATCTTTTTATCATTTTTATTATTATTATTTTTAATATTCATTTATTATGTATAGCATATAATATATATATATAATTATACATAATATAAATATCTTATTTTTATTATTGTTAGATTAAAGCTTAATCTAATTAACTGACTTGATGGAGTCTGTTTCTAAAGAGCTTTGCCTCTAGGGCTGAGAAAGAAACTCAGACAGACAGAAAGAGATAGAGAGACAGAGAGGGAAGCTATAGCTGAGGCCCAGTAGGTCAGAAGAGCCTGCACAATGAGGGGGAGGGAGAGGAGGAGAGGGTCAAGGTGTGGGCAAAGAAGGAGGAGGGGAAGAAGGCCATCACCAGAGGATACCAGTGACCTTTCAGTGTGGGAGACATTATAATACACATGTGTATAGCACTTTACACTTAACTTATTTCATCGTCACAGCCCTGGGAGGTAGATGCTATTATCCATCCCATTTTACAGATGAGAAAACCCTAGTGTTTGAAGAAGGATTAAAAATCATTTTCCCTTTCATGTGTGCTAGCCACACGTGTTCCCTATTTATTGCAATCTTAGGTATGACTCAATCACAAACGTTCTATGTACCACACACACTCCTCCCCCATGATTCCTATACTGAATGGTAGGTGGTGTGTGTTTATGGAACTGAGTTTATGTGGGAGAATGTGTTTTCACTGCTTTTCTTACTGTGTTATTACATTAATTTCCTTTAAATTATGTCCTCTGTCTGGCCAATTAAAGTCAACCCATTGGTAAGGGCTCCTGAGCTATGGTTTTGAGTGGATACAGCCCCAAAGGGTACCTTGAACCTGGGATAGCTTTTCTGGGGGCTTATGTGTGTTGTACTTCCGTAACAAATTCTTTCTTATTGGTCAGTCAGATCCAGGACAACAGGTCCCTGCATAATCCCCACCTTTTGAAGAATGGAATGATTGCCATTCTCATCTACTTTGATCTGTCTACTAATTTAGATATTATGAACCGTCATGTGTCAATTCATCCATACCAACTCTGCTGTAAGCCCTGGGACACAGGGACTAGAAGGAATTTATGTCAGGAAAATGTTGAAAAAACAGAAACAAAAAATTGAGCTAACATCTCCCAAACTCTGTCATCTAGAGCTTCAGAACCAAGGCAATCCTAATTAGCTGGGGAATGTGGTTAGTTTGATGGCAGCATGACTGGCATATAACATTTATCCAGTGTCTGTGTTGCACAGAATGCTGCTTTGCCAGGCACTTTCAGGGAAAGGAATCATTTGCTTTGAGTTTCATCAATGCATAAAAGGAGAAATGCCTTGTATGAAGTCTTTCAGCCAGAGGTGAAGAGTTAGTAGCCAGCCCCTCATTTCTAGTAATTACCCCCTCATTTCTTTCCTTGGAGACCAGCAGGCTTTCCACTAGATTTGCAAGATGCTTTACAGAAACCGCTATAATGTGGTGTTTCCATGTATGCCATTGAAGGGATTCTTTTAGCCCCACAAAGCCAGCACCATGATTTAATTCTGTCTGCCAAATACCTTACCTCAGAATCCACAGGATCAGAACATGTAACAACCACTGTAAAGGATCTTAGAAATATGTAGGTTGGCCCCCTTATTTTATGGACAAAGAGACTAATGGAGACATTAAGCAACTTACTCAAGGTCACATAACTTTGAAGTCTCAGATCTAAGATTTGGAGCAATCACCACCTCTTCCTACAGGAAACCTTTTCTTCCACCAAACCCTTCTCCCTTCCCTCTTCCCCACCCCTAGCTACCAAGGCCTACTTCACACTCCTAAAAAAAATTCACTTTGTATTCACTTAACATATTTAGGGAAGACTGATAGGTGCCCCCCATATATATATTTTGTATTTATTTATATGTTGTTTTGTCTTTATATGTACATGTTGCTTCCCTCAAAAGAATGTAAGCTCCCTAAGGGTAAGGACTGCTTATTTTTTGTATCCCATTGCCTAATAAATGCTTTTTTTATTGATTGACTTGACTCTAAGTTAAAGGACCATTTTCAAATCTGCAGGGAACAGTTTCTTTTTAAAAAAAAATTACTAAGGCTGAGTGAGAATGAGAAAAATTAAGGGGATGTTCTATTTCTAGGCTTTTGTTTAGGGCTAACTTGAGAAAAGGCAGAAAGGAATTAGGAGCTAAAGGAACACACACAGCCCCAGGCATCCATTGCATTTGGTAAGCATGGTTACTCCTCTCATCTGATGTAATTAGTTAATGGAAAAAATGCCTTCAGAATGAGTGATTTTATTGTTATCCTTGAAGAGTTATGCCACAAAGCGCTCCTGGTTCCTGGTTAAGGCCATCTATGGTTAATAAAAGGAATAGCATATTTCCTACATTTCACTTGTAATTATACTACATGTGTCTGGGCTGGGTTAAAGTGTTTCCTAATGAGCAACTACCCCCAAAGGAAACTCCAAGGTGGGCTTTGTGGGGCTAGAAAATTGTAATGGGCCCCCTGAAGAGTCTACTGCAGCACCTCTGATCATAACCACAGGCTGAATTACCCACAGTGGCCAGCCCTGTCCCACACAATACAAGGCTTTGCTCAGAAAAGATATTTGAAAAACACTTATTGCCTCCCTATAGTGTTTTTCTTCTTTATTACCCTGCTCGGCTAACAGGATTTCTAACCTGCCTCACCCTTTCTTTTTCATACACCCTCCTTTTCTCACTTCATATCCTCCTGTGACCCACGGCTATCGTGAATCTGCCCAATGGGCTTGGCTTTTCACAGAATTTGGGGCTAGATTATAATGCAACCCCAGATGGTTCTCTGGAGTCAATATGAAGTAATACAAAGAGACAACCTAGGTCCCAGAACAAGGCAAATGCAATTCTGGTTCTACTTGCAACTGAGGTTCTGGGATGGCTTCTTTGGGTAGGGGGATTGTAAACTTCTCTTCCATAGAAAGAGACCTCAAGTTGGCGCTTGAACTAAGTAAATAACTGCTGGTCACTAGTGTGCTGGTTAGAAGGTCTGCACAAACAATTCATATTTTGGGGTGCAGCTATTAAAAATGACAGAGAAGGAAATGGCAGAGCACTCCAGAACCTTTGCCAAGAAAACACCAAATGGACTCATGAAGAGTTGGATGCGACTGAACAACAACAAATTTAAAGTGAGTGATAGCTTCTACAACGTGAGATTAAAGGATAATCTTGGATGTTGTCAGAGTGTAGGGTGTGATAGATGATGATACGGTTTTCCATGACCCCTAATCTCTCTCCTACTTGTCATGGTGCCTGAAATTCCACCATTAATGATGTATGTCTTTGGCTTTTCCATCTTCAAATTCTCCTGGTATGCATATACCTTGGAAAGGCCTAACTATTTAAGTTGTTAGCTAATAAATTACTGGAGATGAGTTGTTGTTCAGCCATTCAATCATGACCCCGTGGACTATAGCACACATGGCCCCCCTATCCTCCACTGTCTCCCAAAGTCCGGCCAAGCTCATGTTCATTGCTTCCATGACACTATCCATCCATCTCATCCTCTGACATCTCCTTTTCCTTTTGCCTTCAATCTTTCCCAACATCAGGGTCTTTTCTAATGAGTCCTGTCTACTCCTTATGTGGCCAAAGTATTTAAGCTTCAACTTCATTCAGTATTTGACCTTCATGGTGGTCATGGAGACTAATCTTCATGAATTTCTTTAAGTATTGACTGAATTGATCTCCTTGCTGTCCAAGGGAATAAGTTGACAGCTAGATAAATTTGAAGTTCTACAAAAATGAGACACAGAAGAGTCCCAGCTCTCTGCATAGTGCCTGGCACATTGTGAGGACTCAATAAATGTCTGTTGACAGGCAAGAAAGAAGAGGGAATCTCAAAAAAGGGGAGGCAAGAGGTTATCAAGACAAACTTGGATCAGCCTTAGAAATCTGCCCAGGGCTACTAGCAATCAGAGGAATTATTACCAATTAGGTGAGTCCATGACAAACCATGTGATAGTCAGATCATGGAGCAAAATACACTAGGACAGAGGAGGCCTTGTTTTCCTGTCCTCCAAAAGAGATCCTATAAGGAAGGTAGAAGATCTGAGCTCCTACCTGAGTGTGGCCTGGGTAACCTATAACAAATGATGAAGGTCAACATTAAACTAGGCTCCTGCAAAAGATACCCTCCTTAAAAATTGCAGAAGAGCACAGGCAGGCCCTCCCCACCCCCAAACAAAGAGGGAGCAATCCTGTCCAGGCGTGTTATTCAGTTGCATTGCTGGCTGGTGTGGGTGACACTTGGCTGAGCTATCCTCCACCTCTGATGACTTCCCCCAAAGCAGCTACTCCTTAGCGAGTCTGCCTATCATAGAGTATCCCAGTCGTAACCTCTCCCTGAAAGGGAATTCCTATTAAAACATGCTCAACAAGTAGGCATTCCTTTCCACTCTTCCACGCGTTAGGAAATTTTTCCTGATGTGAAGATAAAGTTCACCCCTGTTCAAGTTATACCCATTACTTAAGATTTTATTGTCTGGTGCCCAAGAGAACAAATCTGATCCTTCTCCATATGATAGCTCCTCAGACACTTAATGACACCTATCACATATAGCTTAGGAGGTAAATTGTGAGTTAATAATAGTCAGCCTATCCAACTTCAGTGTGTTCCCATTAAGTAGATTGGGATGGTCTTAAGCAGAAGAGGAAATGAGGTTGAGAAGTAACCACAGGACAGACTGTTTGGTCTTTTAAGTGCTAGGTGAGTGGCCTTTCTCTAGGTTATATAAGTGGAAAATATTGAGGATTAACATGAAATTGACCAAACTGATAACCAATCATCAAACAACTTGACAAATGTAATCTCTGTTGCATGGGCCTTCTCCATGTCTGGACTGAAGCAACAGCATTAACTTGCCTTTTCAAAAGAATTTTAATTTTTTTTGTGAATGTTGACATATCAGGAATCTCAAAACTAAAGGACAAATAGACAACATAGGTTGGGAAAATATAAAGATCTAAAGATCCTTCCTCAATAGTTATTGGCAGCAAAGCAGTTCAAACAAAATACTGCTTGAAAAATATGGATTTAGGCAAGGTGGAATGATACAAGAACAGCAACAGGATTTGCTCAAAAGAAATCTTTTTTACACAAAGCAAACAGCATCGTCATCTGACATAATCAGTGCTCGTAGACCACAGTCATTTAAAGATATTGTTCCTTTGAAAGGGGCCATCTCCAGTTCAGCTCAGGATGCTTTCCTTCATGTCAAGAACCTGAAGTAAGGATTCCAGCATCTTGAAGGAGAGAAAAGAAAAGAAGGAAAGAAAGGGAAGACAGGAAGAAAGCAGTGTTTAATGAACATTATTGTCAATCACAAAGTCAAATTCTGGGAATCCACTAACAAGAAACACCGTAACTTCCCAGTCCATTTATTCTAAATACCATCTTGGGGCAGCTGGGTGGTGAAGTGGATACAGTACTGGCTCAAGAGTTAGGAAGACCTAAGTTCAAATGTCACCTCAGACACTTATTAACTGTGTGACCCTGGGCAAGTCACTCTACCCCAATTGCCTCCCACAAAACAAACTATATACATACATACAATCTCCGTGGTTGACAGAAAGCGTTAAAAAAAAAAAACTAAGGCAGATGGTGCCTAAACCCTGGCATCTCTGCAGCTACAAATGAGGACTTCTAACTACTCATAAATGGAACAAAGTGGTCATCAGTATCTTCCACCAGGTATCTATCTGTCACCTCAACTAAAGGACAAAATTATTTTTCTTGATAGAATCATAGGTAAACGGTATTGTAATACAATGGAAAGAGCTCTGGACTTGAGACCAGAGGTCCTGGATTCAAATCCTGGCTCTTCTACTTTCTACCTTTGTGACCTTGGGCAAGTGCTTCATCTCCCAAGGCCTCAGATTCCTCATATGTAAAATGAGAGGGTTCAACTGGATGGCCTCTAATCAAAGAGACCCCAGAGGTCATCTGGTTCAAGTCTCCCATCCCTATTTTACATATGAGGAATCCCAGGCCCACAGTGGATAAATGACTCACCCAAAGTCACACAAGTAGAGTATGTGAGCTTTCAGCACACAGTGGAGCTGGAATTCGAACTCAGGTCTTCTGACTTCAGATCTAGTGTCATTTTCACCACACCATACCACCTAACTAAAAGGATAGGGAGACTACAAGGGAAACTGTATCCCAGAAGCTATCTCTCTCCACCTGATTTAATTTCACTAAGGGACAAAGTTATACAGTGTGGTAGACAGACCACTGGCTCTGAAATCAAAGGACCCAGGATCTAAACTTGCCTGCAGCTTACTTCTTGTATGCTCTTAAAAGAAGACCTCCATGGGCCTCAGTTTCCTTATCTGTAAAATGATGGGGGTTAGAACAAATCATTTGTAGATTCTCTTCCAGTAATAACTCTATGGTTCTTGGAGATCATCCATTAATGTTGATGACGATAACAATAATCATAAGCAGCTATCATTTATAGAACACTTGAAGGCTGACAAAGAGCTTCACTTGAGTAATCTAATTTAAAACTCACAACAACCCTGTGAGTGCTGTTATTATCCCCATTTTACAAACGAGAAACGTGAAGTTTAGGGATATTAAATGTCTTGCCCTAGGTCACAGTTAGAAAATGTCTGAGGCAGGATTCAAACTCAGGTTTTTCTGACTCCAAGTCCTGGGCTTGATCCACTGCACCATCTACCTGCCTGGTCTAGTCCAAGTCCAATTTATATATGAGAAAGCTGAGGCCAATAAAATCTCTGCACAGTACCATATTTCCAGCTGTGAGAGGGCTGTAGACCACAGTGGCCAAGACAATTGGGAGCAAGTATTCACTCAGGTTTTTATGTTTTGGTTGTAGCTGGCTAAGATTAACTATACTGAAGAAAGGATGGCTAGTTACGATGGGAAAATACTACCTTGCTCCAAAAGAATACTTCATCCATTTAGATGAAAAAGCACCTTCCAGGCATGCTCTCATTAATCTTCCTAAGATACTCAAGCAATTCAGGTTTCCTGACTTCCAATTACTATCTTACTAGCAAATAAAGAAAGTACGGGTATCCCAGGTAATGTTATTATACAGTCCATAGTTTGACTGTTTTGCCTAGGGTGACAAAGTCCTGAGTTCAATTCCCATATTGACCAACTAACTTCCCCCCTCTTCCATCACAACTTGTACTACTAACCCCTGCCGGCCATATTGCAAATATCAGTAACATCCATCTTGCAAATGTGTGCCATTGGTTATGAAGAGGGACAATTTGAGGGGGAGTGGATAGATCAATAGAAATCCCTCACTGTCTCCAAGTGAATGTCCTTCTGTTGATTCCATGTCTGACGTAGGTGGATTAAATAAAGAAGAAAAAGAGAACCATACTATGGTTCATGGATGCCACATAGAGAGGATTGTCAAAGCCAAAGGCCTCTGAGCCAGATCTCTTTTTTGGGAAAAAAGTTCTTACTGAGTGTGAGATGCTGTGAAAAAAAGAGGGCTGGCTTTGACTTCAGAGGATTTGAATTTAAATCCCAGCTTGGTTACTTTCTACCTGTGTGACCTTGAATCTCTCAAATCTTTCCTCCTTCTCATACAGAGAGCGAGTAGGTTCAATGAGATAATCTCCAAGGTTTCTTCTGGCTCTGGATCTCTGACCCCGAATGGGAGGAATCCACAGGTTCTCATAGGTGCATGATTATTAAAAGTGAGTATGCTTTGGAAGGGAGGGAGAAAATTTGGAACTCAAAATTTTTAAAAATGAATGCTAAAAATTATCTTTACATGTACTGGGAGGAGGAAATAAAATATTACAATTTTTTAAAAATTGGATTTCTGTAAAGAATTTAAAAAGTGAGTATGCTTTCAATTGGGAGAACTGATTCTGCTTTTTACAAGGGGATGACCAGGTCACTCAATATGCATGTGAATGATTCTTGCCTGCTTGTGAGTTTTCTAGTCATTAGAACTTTTCTGGTTTCAAAGTCCTCAAACAGAAATAAATAGAAGTCACTCAGTAAGTCAAAGTACAAGGACATGCAGCGAATGTGAATCTACAAAGCTCAGCTCTCTTCCTCTCCATCCTTTCCCAAAGAGTGCTGCCCAGCCTCTTCTACCCATGGCCACCAGAGGCAAAAACTCGAGGTATTCCTCTGAGGATCCACTTAGACACAGAGGGAAGCTCAGATTATCTCAGATTACAAATGAAGCCCTAGAATAAAGTTGGACTCAGCTACACATTCCTGAGACTGCTGGAAAGCATTTCCAAAAACCCTGGATGGAGTGTATAATTTAAGTCTGAGCACCCGGGTTCAAATCCCAGCTCTGCCACTTCATATCTTTGTGGCCCAGGGCAAATCACTTCACCTTCCTGGGGCCTCAGTTTCTTCATCTGTAAAATGAGAGGATTGGGGCAAATGGCCTCCGAGATTCCTTCCAGCTTTAAACTGATCAACTATGACAAGTGGAGAGCCCGCAAGAAGGTAAAGATGACTGAGATATTGACTTGGCAGAGACCTATGAAGGTCCCTGAGCCTTGTTCTCAATGACACATTCATTGTTTTATAGTCTGGGGGAACGATGTGAGCAACTACGTATATAATCAAAAGTGAGGAGAGAGGCTCCAGATTATGAACCGCAGCTCAGGGACAGCAGTACCAGGGCATGTTGCTTTATGCCTGTGATGGAAAAGAGAACATTTTCCTTTGATTAAAAAAAAAAGGATAATTTGTAATTTGAAGTCCTTCATTTCTTGAATATGTCTATGTAGATCTATCTGAAAACTACACCTAACATTAGAAGTGCTCAGTGACTTTGTAGCTTCTTTATACCATCATCAGGGGTCATCAAGAGACATTTTTGGGGGACAGACCAGATCTGTGATTCCATTGTTGTAAAGAACTATTATAATGGACATTCTCTCAACCAGTGAGATGGACAGCTGGTCTATAATAACCTTGTAGAATACAGAGCTGCCTGGATCAGTGACTTGCCCAGGATCATACAACTAATATGTTTCAGGGACAAGAAGATTTTATCCCGAGTCTTCTTGACCCCAGCACTATTCACCATGACACCGCTGACTCTTACTGGAAGGTCTGTGGGCTCCTAAGAGCACTATGCTCAGGGTATGCTCCCTACGTGAATAGGGAAGCTTGATATGTAGCCAGTGTTTGACAAGTGTGTTGTCATAATAGGCAGAAAATGATTAACACAAAGGAAATGCCAAACTGCCTTGGCTAAGAGTTAAAATATAATTAAATATATAAAAATAAAATAAAAATATATAAAATATAGTTAAAATATAAAATAAAATAAGAAAAAATTTAAAAGATTTGGTACTTAAATGACCAGAAACAAGTATTTGGCATATGGTAGAATAAAGGGAATGAGCTTCCCAAATCTTTAAAAATGCTTTCTTCTTCTTGCTTTAGTAGGAAATAGAAATGATGAGGTTTGACTATAAGTCCCATAGACTAGTCCTTGAATGTGCTTCATGAAAATTCGATATCCAAATGAGTGTTGTTTCCTTCAAAATCATCACCTGAGGAGGTCACATGACTAATCTGCTACTGCTGCCATTACTGAAAACACTTCTGGGATTTCTCTTTTAGAACCGGCTTCAGAACCAGTAACATATTCTCCAGAATAGTTTTGGTGCTGGCCCTTTGAGGACAGTTTTGACTTCAGGGAATGGTCAAAAAACTATTTAGATCTAAGTCTGGTGAATAAGGTCTGTGATCAAGCTGGGGAATATTGGTTTTTTGTATGAAAAAAACAAAAAACAATTTGCAATTATAATGTCAGTACTTTTCTCGCTTCCTATGTGCTCCTCTAGTCTAATTTGTAACATTTGCTACATATTCTAATTTGCATCATGCTTCTCTGTGTATATTTCTTATTTTCTCTACTAGAGTCTCAAGGGAATTCCGAGAGCAGGCATTCCCACAGTACTTTGAGCCTTAGCAGCAGCCCAGAAATGATGACTGGTAGAATAGAAGCTCCCTGAGGGCAGGCCCTGTTTCATGTTCATCTTTGTCTTCCTAGTACTTAGCACAGCACATAGTGACATTTGTTGAATTTGAATATTTGAATTGAATAGGAGTATAACCTCTCAAGGGTGACATATGTAGGAGATAATAATCACTCGAAAGTAGATGGACTGATAAGCTTATGAATCTCATTACTTTATAAAGATACCTGGTGGTCAGTTCTAAATCCTGTAGAAGTCTCTTTTTCACTTTAATGGATAAACCCACAGGAATGCTTATGTCCATTGTTAGCTCACAACCATTCACAATCAGAAAAATAGAAGATAATGTCTGGATTGAGGTTTCTATTATGAGCTTAATGTTTTTTTGTCCTCATTAGAGACTATGATTACATCAAAACACTGTGGATTATTCCAGATGACAGTGAAAAAAATCTCATTTGTGTTAATTCACTTATTCCTAAACTGGTGGTGGCATGTTTTAAAAATATTATTTTTGGTGAATCCCTCAGATCACAAAATTAAAGCCATGATCTAGTCCAACCCACTCATTTTACAGATGAGGAAACTAAGGCCCAAGATCATGGCAACAGTGGCGTCTAATGCATGGAGATTCAACTAATAGAGCTTGTACTTGGGTCCCTGGGCTACCTTTTTTTTTTTCACTTCATTTGCTCTTTCTTGACCTTAGGAAATGAGTATTTATCCCAAGATGAGCCTACTTAGGCTTGGAGAACTTGAGTTTGCTAAGTCCAGAAGTTCTGGATCCCATTGATTCAGAGCTGAAAGGAACTTATTTCAGTGTTCTTAGAAAGAGTGACCCCTAGAGGACTGGCCCAAGCCTGGCTATTTAACCAGAAGACATATGCCAGGAGTTTTTTAAACAGTGCAGGGCCAAGGTGAAAGATCAACTATCTTCTTAGTAGTTCTAATTGCTTTATATATTTGATGAGGTTTAAGCATTAAATTCCCAGATTATGAGTAGTTATGAGTTAAATAACTGTTTTAAATCATTTTGTTAATGCATTCAGTCAGTCTTATGTTTAGCATTTACTTTGTGTATAGGAATAACTACAGTATGAGAATAACTGTCCCATAATTGATTCATATTGAATACCTTTTTACTCCTCTTTCTGGAGAAACCTTAAGCAAATTTATCCCCATAGTGCTCTGGTTGAGGGTATAAGGAGCTGAAGAGTAAGAAAAGAGCATCTAATCTTTCCCAGGATTGAACCCAGTGCAGTGCAGTACAGAGCAGCACGGGGAATGGGCATGATATCCCAAATCCTGTGAACCAGCAGTGGTTCTTCAATCTTAAGACTATATAGCACTAAATGGAAACAAAAAGTCTCAACCCCTCTTCTACTTCCTTCCTGCCCAACCTCCCCCTCCCTACCAGTCACACACAAGCCTACTCCATTCCTTTACTTTCACATTTTCTACTTACATCTTTAGTGTGGTCATCACTGTCTAAGTCTCTGGTGGGCTGACGGTAGCCCAGGAGACTGTGCCGAAGTAGCTGACTGCTTCTACTACCTTTCCCTTCTAACAGAGGCAGTGAATTCTTCTCTGCTTCTTCCCATTGCAGGTATTCACTTAGCGGCTTGGAACTATCAGGTACCACAGGTATCTTGTCTCCTCCTTCATAAGCATATGGAAAATCTCCAGTGCTCTTTTTTCCCATTAAGTGCCCTAGGAGGGAAAAAATTAGAAAACCACCTACTTAGCCAAAGGGTAATGGGGAGATGAGAAAGAAAAGAAACTGGATTATTTGGGGCCATTCTCTGTCAACTGGAAAATAAAACTAATGTTTAAACATGCTGAGCTGCATCTTTATTGACTGATCCCTCCCAAGGCTCCCTGCCAAAATATGGGAGGAATTATGGGAAAAATATCAGACTGAGTGTTAAGACACCTGGGTTCTGATCATGGTCTTAAAACTTGATCATAGCTTTAAAGCTGAAGGGGACCTGAGAGTTAATCATTTGTAACTCTCTCATCTTACAACAGAGGAAACTGAAGCCTGTTTAAATGACTTGTCCATGGTCACATAGACAGTAGAATCAGGTCCTCTACCTCCAAACTCAATCTTCTTTCCATTATACTACACTGCCTCTGAGGTCCTTCATGTGTTTATCTGTGAGACTTTGGGTAAGTCATTCTTTCTCTCTAGGCTCCAGTTTCCTTCTTGGTAAAAATGAAGTATTTAGATTACACAATACCCAAGACCCCTTCTGACTATAGCATCCTCTGATGCTATAACAAGTTCGATTCCCAACTGAGAATGCCATTGTCTGAATGTTTTCCCTAGCTGTTTTTCTGAATTATTGGTGATATTAAGTCTCAAAGCTTTTCTTTGAGATGAGAAAGAAAAGTTGTGTTTCTATTTTCTAATGTGTTTCTAAATTGTCACAGGAATTTTTTTCATTTAACTTGTGCTGAAACTTTAGCTGAGCCTGAATTTGGAAAACTTTACCCAGAAATGACAATTTTAAAGAAAGTAATAATGAGACGGAAACTTCCCCCCCCCCCCCAACTTTGGCCAAAGCTTTCCTCCCACAAAGCAGCAGTGATTACTCCTGATACAATCTATTTAAGGCCCGGATGCAACTCAAGGGAATACATCTGATTGAGAGATAGGTTTCTAAGAAGTGGGTAAATCCACTGAACGGGTGGAAATTTACCAGGCATGAGAAGTGAGATCTGTTGCAGCTCAAACAGTCTCAGACGGGGTTATTGACTTCCAGGTTCAGATTGTTCAATTTTTAACATTCTTATTGGTATCTTTTGTTCCTCTAATACCTTCATTTCGATGTAAATCCATGCCTCCTCCCTTACCCAGCATGCCATTCCCTTGTTAAAAAAAAAAAGTCAGCTAGGTGACAGTTGTATAGAGCACTGGGCCTAGATTCAGGAAGACCCAAATTCAAATCCAGCCTCAGACACTTAGTAGCTGTGTGACCTTGGGCAAGTCACTTAATCCCTGTCTGCCTCAGCTTCATCAACTGTAAAATGCTGATAAATGATGCACGGGGTAAAATGGCACCTACCTCCCAGGAATAGTATAAGGATCAAATGAGGGAATTTTTGTAGAGTTTAGCACAGTGCCTAACAAATGCTCGAAAAAAATGAAAAAAGCAATTTATAAAAACTAACCATCATAAAACCCAACACATCACCTGAGCCTAACAGTATGTGCTATGTTCTAAACCTATAGTCACCACCACCCCCATCCCCACCTCTGCAGAAAAGGAAGAGAGAGCATTTTGTCATCTCTTCTTCAAGAACAAGCCTGGGTCAATATAATTATACCATGTTCAGTCTCATTCTCAAGGTTCAGACCGTTGATAAATTGAGCTGCTACGTGTATTTGCATTAAGTCATTTCCTTTCTTAAATGGACTTGCTAAAGCTGTTGATATACAGGAATGGGCTCTGTTGCACAGCCAGGCTGGTAACATTTAGAAATGTAATACACTTTTGATTTAGGACTCACAAGTGAAGAGCTCTTTGTGATGTCAGCTTTGAATTGCTTCAGGGTCAGTCTCACTTAAGGAGACAACCACTACCAGGAGCGAGTGTTTGCTGAGCCTTTCTTCACTGCAAGTAGAAAAAGGCTTCTATCCTACTGATTCACCCACTCCTGTCTAAAGAGCAGTGACTTCTTTTACAGGGAAATTTCCACCACTTCCACATGATCATTAAATAACATTCCAGTAAGTCCCTAAAGAAGAAATGGCAGAAATTGCAGTGTCTGAGAAAGGATAATGACTGTTACCAACTTTCTGCAGTACTATGGGGAAGATGACATCTGCCCACTGCATCTGTATATTAGACACAATTTGTCATATGATGATTGAGTCTGTGAAATATCAAGGACCATTAAGGCAAAGTTTAGTCCTTCATTAAATAGTTTCTGATATATAGATTTCTAGCATAACTAAACAAACTGTAAGTTAAATCTAGTGCCTAGAAATAAGTTTGTAGGATCATAACTCTAGTTCTGAAAGGGATATTAGCAGTCTTCTAGTCCAAGTCCTTAATTTATAGATGAGAAAACTGAGGTCCAGAAGTGAATTGAATTATTCAGGGTCACATAGGTAGTAAATGGCAAAACCAAGATTCAGGATAATTAGGTGGCACAATGGATAGAGTGTCAGGCCTGGATTTAGGTAGACTCCTCTTTCTGAGTTCAAATCTAGCCTCAGACACTTACTAGCTATATAACCTTGGGCCAGTCACTTAACCCTATTTGCCTCAGTTTCTTCATCTGTAAAATGAGCTGGAGAAGGAAATGGCAAACCACTCCAGTATCTTTGCCAAGAAAACCCCAAATGGGGTCACAAAAAGTTGGACAGGACTGAACAACAACAACAAAGAACCAGGGCACAAACTTGGACACACCAATTCTAAATCCAAAGCTCTTTCCATAATTTGTATCAACAACATGTTTTAAGGAAAAGAACATTGGCCTGAATCAGAATTCTGGGCAACGGGCATAGATAATGGTGTGAGGAACTGGATGAACTGGGGCTCCACTTAGTGCAGCCTCAAGTTTCCTCATCCATAAAATGAAAGTTCTGGACTAGGAAAGCTCTTAAGTTGCCTTCCTTCTGATATTGTTAAGGCATCCATAATGGGGATTAATCCACATGACTTTGCAGAAGGCAGAGTAGCTAAATGCTACTTTATGAGGAGCTGAGGAGATGGGGCCACCAAAGCTATACTAGAGCTTCCAGCTCTGGGTTGAGGCGGGTAGGGAAGGTGGATTCCAATAAATTTTTTGAGTATTCTTACTTTCTAGAATCCAATGCTATCCAGGCAGGATGCAGGTAGCAGGCCCAAATCTTTTCCTGAATCTTTGCCTACCTGACATCAGAAAGAAGGGAGGTTTATTTTGTCATCTCTTCTTCAGAAACAAGCTTGGTCAACATAAGTGTAGTATTTACTAGAAAGACCTCATAACAGTGAAAGCTAAAGGAGCCTGAAATATATTAAAGTTGGATCATTTCCAGAAGTATAATAAATTAGATGGTTTTTTTTGGGGGGAAGGGCTAGGCAATGGGATTAAGTGACTTGCCCAGGGTCACACAGCTAGTAACTGTTAAGTGTCCGAGATCGGATTTGAGCTCAGGTTCTCCTAAATCCAGGGCTGGTGCTGATTAGGTGGTTTTAATAATGATAATAACAATTGCTATCAGCAACAAATATCAGCAGTGGTGTCACATAGGGGATAAAGAGTAAGCACCAGAACTGGGAAGGCCTGGGTTCATGACTTGCTTCTGACATGGTCAGGTTCTCTGAGCCTGGGCAAGTTATTTTCCTTCTTCTCAATGCCCCAAGCAAATCTCTAGGACAATAAATTGCAGAAAAGTTGTAAATCTGCATTACTAAAGGAAGCCTCCTTGCTGGTCAGTTCTCTATGCCAATGAAAGAAATATAACAGGAAAATAACAGTATAGATTGCTCTATTGTGTTTTTTTTTCCAGTTTGAAGCAATAATTCACTTACAAATCTGCAAAACCAGTCTAAAAGTAAATAACAGCTCGTATTTATATAGTGCCTTCAGATTTACAAAGCACCCTTTTTAAAAATTATTTTTATTTGTTTATTTTTGTTACATTTTAAATTCAGAACTATTTCCCTCCCTCCTTCCCTCCCCACCATTTGAGAAAGCACCATTTGACATGATAGATAGGATAGATAGATGATAGATAGATAGATAGATAGATAGATAGATAGATAGATAGATATGTAAAATCATACTATGCATACTTCTATTTATCAGTTCTTTCTTTGGAGAATTATAGCATCTTTCTTCACAGGTCCTTTGTAGTTGATCTGAATGTTCATAATACTTAGCTTAGCTTAATAACTTCATAATACTAGCTTAGTCATTCACAACTATTCTTTGAACAATATTGCTGCTATTGTATACAACATTCTCTCGGTTCTGCTCATTTCACACTTCATTATTTCATGCAAATCTTTCCATGTTTTCCTAAAATCAACCAGTTCATCATTTCTTACAGCACAGCATTATTCCATCACAATCATATACCACAACTTGCTCAGCCATTCCCCAACATCCTCTCAATTTCCAGTTCTTTGCCACTACAAAGACGGTTGCTATAAATATTTTAGAACATATAGGTTCTTTTTTTCCCCTGATCATCTTGGGAAACAGACATATTAGTGATATTGCTGGGTCAAAGGGTATAAGCAGTTTAATAATTCTTTGGGCATAATTTCAGATTGCTCTCCAAAATGGTTGGATCAGGTAAAGGTACCACCAACAGTGTATGAGTGTCCCAATTTTTCCATGTGCCCTCCAACATTTGCCATTTCCCCCTTCTACCATTTTAGTCAATCTGATAGGTGTAAGATATCTCAAAGTTGTTTTAATTTAAATTTCTTTATCAATAATGATTTAGAGCATTTTGCCTTATATCTATATATAGCTTTGATTTATTTATCCAAAAAACTGCCTGTTCATATTCTTTGACTATCAATTGGAGAATGATTCATATCCTTATAAACTTGACAATGTTCTCTATATATTTGAGATACACAACCTTTATTTGGGAAACTGTCTATAAAAATTTCCCCCCAGTTTTCTGCTTTCCTTCTAATCTTGCTACATTGGTTTTATTTGGAAATTTTTTTTTTAATTTAATGTAATAAAATGATCCA